AAAAAATAAAAAAAAATAAAATTTATAGGTAAAGTCAGTTATTCCTCCCGTTCAGAGAGAGTAGGTAAATAGTGTTGGGGGAATACCACCCTCCCCCCCCCCCCCCCCACAATCCTGGAACCTTCCTTCCTCCGGCGGCCCAGGCACTGACACACTGCGTTGCTGTCAGCACACACAGCCCCCTCCCCACGCCCCCAGGTCATTTCTCTCGTGGTTGCTGGGGAGGCTGGGAGGCAGGGCTTTCCTGGCCTGGGTCCCGCACACCTGTCCTCCTTGCCTTGTTCGGCCACTGCTCCGGCAGGCCCTGCTGCGTGGTGACTCCGATGGAATAAAGAGATGACCGGCATCCAGAGGAGTTGGCTGCTGTTGGCTCCAGGGCTCGGGGAGGGGCAGAGGGCACGGCTCTGGGTGCCTGTGGGAGGGGGCACGTCAAGCCCACTTGACCTAGCTTGGCGGGTGGCAGGGGACCTGCGGGCAGAAGCAGTGTGGCCTCAGGGCACCGCTTAGCTCTGCAGGCCCCGAGTTATTCTTAGGTGCAGGGTGGGCTCCTTCTGGCTCCTCATTACTATTCAGCTCAACATGAGGAGCGTTTATTCACACCCACCACGCGCCAGACACCACGCCAGCCATGGGGATCAGCAGCTTTATCCCCCAGGGAGCACACTGGGAGCAGAGGAAACAGAATGTTCTGGAACGTAGCCCAGGGACGGTTTATGCTGCCTCGGGGAGGATTAGCCACGGGGTAGAGATATGTTTGTGTTGGGCCTGATCCGAGTTTGTGCAGGTCCTGTGGCCCCTTCCCCGGGCCCTTGGTCTGCCTGGGCGGGCGGAGGGGGGGGGGCGGTGGGGGGGGAGAGGCAGAGGGGATAAGGAGGGGGGTGGCAGGTCCACCAGTGCCCCCCCCTGTCCACCCCCCCCTCTCCCCCTGGAAGGGTAGAGCAGCTGGGGCCCAGGCCGCCCAGCCACCTCTCGGTGCCCCTGGCTGGCGTCACGTGGGCGGCTGCCTGGGAGCTGCCTGTGTGAACTGGGTCCCGGCCCATTTTCAGAAAATAGCTCAGGGGAAACCAGGTCCAGCTCTGCTCCGCTCAGTCCTTCACTGCTGGGTTTCAGACAACACTGTCAACTTGGTTTTGCTGGCCTCTGCATGCTTTCTAGTAAAACATGGGTATTCTGTGGTTCTGTACTTGTCATTATTGGGGCGCCAGAGGGGGACTGGGTGTACACTACGAGGTTAAGGGAATTCAGGGCGGTGGTGGGCCTGTGGGGGCGGCAGGAAGCCCACCCCCTCCCAGCGCCTGCGGGGAAGTGTTGAGGGGCTGCAGGCTCAGGCTGAGGACTGGCCAGCTGCTCCTGCGGGGGGGAGGGGGGGAGGAGGGGTCCCCTCACGCACACCTCAGTCGTGCTCAGGTCCGGGGTTTCAGTGTCCTCCCCTCAAAGACAGCGAGGCTCAAAAGCCTAGTGCCTTGCTTTCCACGAGGCACCTCATTTAATTCTCGCTGAAGCGCCCGAGGCAGGCAGTGGCCACAGGGACAAAGCTATACCTGGGCCGGCCCAAGGCCAGCAGGACGAGCTGAGTTGAGTGTTCTTGTCCTGCGCTGGGTCTCAGGCAGGAGGAACCGGCAACAGGAGGGCTGGGAAGGAGGCCGTGGGACAGGGGCCGTGGACCCTGGCGATTCGACTCTGCAAGGCCTGCTCCAGCGTTGGAGGCACCTGGTGACTAGGCTCTCCTGACCTTGGGTTTGTCCTGGGACCACACGACAATTCTAATCAGTTTAGCAAAAGGAGCCCTGACTCACCAGTGTTGTAAGAGTTTTCCTCTCTGGTTCCTACGGGGGGCGGGGGGGGGGGGGGGGGGGAAAAACAAGGGAGAAAAAACAAACTCTGGTGTGGCCCGTCCAGAATATAGACACCCGCCACCGGCTGTAACCAGCCCAGCGCGGCTTTTAAACCGGGCCAGGCCCCCCCCCTACCCTTCCCCGCCCGAGTCCACCGGGTTTGCCGGGCGGCGGAGCCTGGTGCTGTGCTCCTGGCGGCCACGGGGGGGAAGCACCGAGTAAGCTTAGCGCGGAGCCCTCCTTCCTCCGCCCATTTGAACCCAGAGCCCAGTCCCTTGGAGCCAGCAGGGTGCCTGGGGGAGGCTGGAGCAGGCAGACGTCCCTTGTGAAGATGGGGGGTGACAGGAAGGGCTTTTTAAGGAGGACACGTTGGGGTGGTGGCGTTTGCTTAGTTAATCCACACCCTGCAAGGTCCGCACCATCCGCCTGAGGAGACGGCTCAGAGAGGAGAAGGACTGGCTCATACACACGGCTCGGAGGTGGTGGGGGTGGGGTAGAGCCCAGACCATCCCCACAGGGCTCCTGGGGAGACACTTGCATGGCACGAGTGTCCCTGCCCAGCCAGCCAGCTCTGAGGAGGGAGGGGGTGTCCCTGTGAGCCCACGGTGGAGAAGGGGCGCCCTGGGGAGATGTCCGGCCCACGGAGTGGGGGTTGCTAGTAATGACTTCCGTGTCTCCTCAGGGCCAGCGCCAGCCTCCCTGCCAGGCCTCCCGGACGCAGCAGCCCCGAGTGACCACGCCTCTCCCAGCACCCCCAGCTCTTCACACTGAGCCTTCACAGGCGCCTGTCACCTTGCCCTCCATGACGTTTCCTCATGTCACCTGACCGCTCCTGCACCTGATTATAAAGCCCCGGGAGCAGGCTTTGTGTGCCTGGCCTCTGGGATGTACAAATGCGCACTCGAAGATGACTGTATGTGACAGTGTACACAGCATCATCAACCGTTTCCCACGGGGGGAGAGCGCGGGCCCAGCGTCAGAAGACTCGTGTTTGGCCTTGGTGGGCATGGCATGGTTTTTGGAGGCACAGCGGAGACGGACTTGAACTTGTTCTGCTTCGATTAGACAAGCTCATGCACATGCTGGGTGGGCGGGGTGGGGGTGGCCCGGAAAGCACAGGGGCACCGAGGGAGGCTGCCTCAGTCCTCCACAATGTCCTTTGCCTCATTCACGCAGCCCTCATGAGGAGCCGGGCTGCGAGGGGGACCAGCTTCTGGAGTTTCCATCAGGGAGGGGCTGGCTGCTGAAGGCCCCTGTGATTCCCGGGATAGAGCCCTAATTTACATCACAGCCGAGACCTGGTTTCTAGAATG